TCGAAGGTTCGATGGACTTCTCGTGTGCTCTGGATGGCAGTTGTGAATCAGTCAAGTGTCAAGTAAAGTCGGCGGAATAGCGCGAGCTCCAGTGTGGGGAGCCACCCTTTCTTTCAATTCATCGCCGAAGTCACAACCACTACTTCGTACCGTTGTGCCCAGCGCGGGCTTGCGACCAGTTGGTTTGGAGGTGACAGCGTTGCGAATGACCGAGGGTCTTCGACGTCTGTTCTCACCGTCCAGCAGCGACACTGACTCACGCTGCTATCTGGTGTTCACGAGGTGTTTGTCGCGCTGAAAACGGAGTGTCTCTGTACGTTTGTATCCCTGGTGATGTTTGTGCCTGGAGAGCACTATATAAGTGGTGCTCTTCAGGCACAATCTTCCTCAGCCTACTCAAGCTCAAATGATGAGGGGTGAATTCCCCCAAACACTGTGTATTGGGCACTGCGAGATGATGGAGGATTCCCAGTATAACTGTCTTACTAGAAGAGTGCATTGTGCGCTGGAGATGACGGAGGATCCCCAGTATAACTGTCTTGCTGGAAGAGTGCATTGTGCACTGCGAGATGACGGTAGAGGCCCGGTATAACTGTCTTACCGGAAAAGTACATTGCGCACTGTCCAATGCCAGACGAACTCCTCTAGATCTGTCGCCCTGGATGATTGCGTTCTACACTGTGCAACACCAGATGAGTGCCCATGTAACTGTCTCACTGGATGAGCGCCTTATGCAACGTACAACATAAGGCACTTCCAGCCCGGCAGTGTCCGCCACCTCCCAATATCAATGTCTTACTAGTTGACGTATTGTGCAATGTACGATGTTAGTTGTGTCTCTGTACGATTGTTTCAAAGAATGAGTGCATTACGCCACGTACAATGTTGGGTTGAGTCCCAGTAGAATGGTCTTACCGGATGTACGTATTGTTTACCGAGAGTTATAACGTCGATTTCCAGTATCATTATGTCTCATTGGAGGAGTGCCTTGCATACTGCGTGGGGTCAGCTGTGTCCTTGTCAAAATGTCTTACTGGAGGAGTTCATTCCAGTATGTCTTATTCGGTCATCAGATTGTGTACTATACGATGTCAGACGGGTCCCCGCATATCAGTCTCTATGGGTGTATTGGGTACTGTGTAATGTCCGCCACCTCCCAATATCAATGGCTTACTACATGTAGTTGACGTATTGTGCAATGTGCGATGTCAGTTGAGTCTGTATGACCGTCTCGATGAATGAATGCGTTCGCCATGTACCAGGTTGGACGGGTCCAAGTAGAATGATCTTACTGGCTATACGTTTCGGTCACCGAGAGTTAAATGTTGAGTTCCAGTATCATTATCTGTCCTATTGGAGGAGTGCCTTGCATACTGTGTGGTGTCAGCTGTATCCCAGTAGGAAAGTCTTACTTGAGGAGTTCATTCTCTACTGTGCGAAGTCAAAATAGGCCCACTGTACCAGTCCGATTGGACAGGTGTTGCATGCACTTTGCAAAGTCAGATCAGACCTAACTTACTGGCTTCTTGCATAGGCTCTGTGTGTTCTGTGTGAGGCCTGGCGGCACTGTGTGAATATTCCTGGATTAATTCTAACAATTTTATGCTGTGCATTTTAATCATACCGGCCCTATCGGTTTTCACTTGTCCCGAGTCTGTTTGTGGCACAACCCTGTACATGATTTTTGCATCCAGATGACTTACTCTGCTGTTCTGTGTGCTTTTCCTGCATGTTCATTCTCCTTTCTCTTCTCCACTCCCTGCTTTAGAGTACTTCAGGGGTTGGCTATGAGAAGGTTGATCCTGTACAGCCCAAACTGACCCGATATATCTGCTATCTGTGATCTTTATAGTCGCCACCTGCTGTTCAGTCAGGTTTGAGAATCAGATGCCTTGTTCATGTGCACTGCGTGGACGTATCACTATAAACTGCTGGCTGGCCAGTTCCTGACACCTGAACTACTATAGACACCCTACATGCTCTCACACTCAGTTTGGTGGGTGGTTCCTCAGCACTGAACTGGGACGTACTGCACCAGATCAGGGTGCTAGGTCCTTGGACTATGAGAAACTTTGTGTAGGTCATAGCCTACTCGTTTTGTTCCGTACTCGCTCTCTGTGAGTCTTCCTGTCTTGTTTGCATCTCTCTGCCTTCTTTCTCGTTTTCGCCGTGCTATGCTTTTTCTGAGTCACATCTGGCTGCGGCCAACTACCCTTCACTTTGTGTGTTGTCGCTATTGCTGTCTATGTCTCTGTGTGTGCCAGTATATGCGGAGCGAGAGCGAAATATTTTCAGTTGCAAATATAGCATCTGGTGTGTTATTTGTTGTCGCTTATTTTCCTGACGTCTTCAGTCAGTTTTGAGTCTCACCAGTGTCCCTGCCCTCCCACCCTTTATTTCTGTGCATATTATCAATGCTTTTTATCACTGTTTGCCGTGATGTGCTTGCCATGCCTATATGATGCCTGATCGCCATTGGAGATATACACCCGGTTTTTTCCCTCGCAAATGCGTCCGTGTGCGCGAGGGTTTTTTCCGGCTGGCTCGGTCCAGGAAAATTTATCTGACGGTCCCAAGTGGTTCTGCATCATGGCCTATTTCTGCTATCCACTGGCACGCCTATTCTATCTGAGACACTCTGTTCTTTGTCCTTGCTTGCTTCCATACCTCACTCGTTATCAGGTTCACATCTGGCTGCGGCCAACTACCACATCCGGCTGCGGCCAACTACCATTCACTTTGTGTGTTGTCGCTATCGCTGGCTATGTCTCTTTGTATGCCAGTATATGTGGAGCGAGAACCGACTCTTCCCTTCCATCACACCGCCCGGCCACTTGTCCGGTGTCTGCTTCACGTGACGCAACCTCAGTCGACGCACATTTAGGAGGGCGAGCACGTCAAGGACGAGAATCATGTGCGTGTACCGGGACTAACCTCAGCGGTACATGCTGACGGATTCGTGCCCCAGGTGCTGAACAGTTCTGCCCACATACCGACTCTCACACTGCCGGCATTGAAAAAAGTAGATGAGTTTACTTGTGGAAAGGATAGGCAGAACATCCTTCAGCACCTTGAATGCACGAGGCGTCCTAAACGCGACATACAATCTGACGCACGGATAAGACGCAGTGACAATATGGTGAACTTCCTTCTCGACATATGCAGAACTGTGGTCGCCCTCCTAAATGTGCATCAACTGAGGTTGCGTCACGTGAAGCATTGTCCCAGTCCGAGGTTTCGTCTGGCGCAGCAGTACAACAAACTTCTTCATCTACGGCATGTGCTGGGCTTGGGCCGGCCCAAGTCAGCAAAGCAAAGAGGTGCAGAGCTGTGAAAACAACATCGAAGAAGACAATGCCAGGGACACCCAGTCGACGATTCATTCGTAGCAAGGTGAGGATGCGTACTGGAGCAGAGGAACAGGTGACGATACTGGAAGTGACAACGAGCGTAAGTGGGAGAAAGCGTGGAAGACCACCACGAAAGCCAGTGATCAAGACAACGGAAAAGTCAGACACCGGACGAGTGGCCGGGCGGTGTGATGGAAGGGACGAGTCAGGACCTGCAGCATCGGAAGTGACAACAAGGCGACTGCCCAGAAGAAGGGACAAGTCAAGAAATGCGACATCGAAGGTGACAAAAAGATGAGAAATTCCAACAGTCAGCAATCGGCGATGAAGAGTCATCTGGCGGTTGGTGATAGTTGTCGTGAGTTGTACAGAGATGATGTTTTCTCAGTTTTGGCCCGTGGCAGATCTGTATTACATTTGTCTGTTTTGGAAGCGTTATATATTCGCAAGTTGTCCCCTGAACTGTGTGTCCAGAAGGAAAATGTTTTGTTGCTTCAGTTGTTTGGCGCTAATCCTCGTGAAAGTGTAAGGAATGCTTCTTCTCATTGATGTTTTCACAATGTTTTAGTCATTTCTTCACCTTCACCCTGTTGTTGACTTTTCAGCTGAATTTTATTTTTTCCACTTGTGTAGGGTGAGAATGAAATTGAAGACACCACTGCAGCTGTACTTATGGTTGATAAATATGGTGGTAAAGACACACCTGGCAATATGGCGGTAAACACACGCCTGCCCACACACGCTCTCTAGGCTGCATGCGCTACTTGATGTACCAGCCTGCTATGCCGGATACCGCCAGCCATGCATCGACCAGGCGCTAGGCGCGAACTGATGGTGGTGGTGGTGAGAAGGAGAGCTCTGTGCCAGAACTTTGCAGCCTAGAGAGCGTGTGTGGGCAGGCGTGTGTTTACCGCCATATTGCCAGGTGTGTATAGCTTGAGTTCTCAATATAAGCTTTTGCTGTATAAGTTGCTGTATTTGACATTTTCCATTATTCCCTGTATTTACCCATGTCGAGAAGGGAACGAAAACGTTCGGTTCATAAATTGGTTTTCCTGACTGTGTGCATTGGGTCGGTGCTGACACCTTTCTTTCGAAATAAAATAAACCAGAGACTCAGATGGAGAGCCAAGGTTTAATTCATACAAAGTGAAAGACCAAGGATTTACAAGTTACGCTATATTGTCCACTAACACCACCAGTTACGACCAATGTTATCGCATGAGCTGATTGTTTAGTAACTGGCGGTGTTAGTGGACAGCATATCGCAACTTGTAGTTCCTTGGTCTTTCTCTTTGTATGAATAAAACATAGCCTATCAATAAACGGTTGAACGGTACCTTTTGGCTATTGAATAATACAAGAAACTAAATCTCCTCCATGCGATCTAAAGCCGACCATTGCTACCCTCGGTATCCATTACTCACACCAATAACTTCAAACAACGAAGGTGTCACAGGTAAAAAAATTCCTTCTGACAGCTGTTTCGCCTATCAAAGGCTCGTCACATAGCCTGTAAAATGTAAAGAGTTACTGAGTACAGTTATCCAGTATCCATGTCCAGTGTACTAGCAATGATATTGAATAATTATATCTTATGAACGAAACCTTTGGATTCAGATATCTCAAGTCCTGCAGTAGCTAACTTACCTTCTGCCCTTCCTCCTTTAAAGTAGCGTCCATTGCTGCAAACTGTTTAGCTGAATGTTGCCTGATGGCTCTCAATTGCTGCTTGGTCTGTGAGGACATCAGATGGGCATATAATCGCGTCGAAAAATAGCCAAGGTTTTTTAATTTTATTTAAAGGGCTACAGCGGGAAGGAGGTACTTTATCTATTTCGTATTTTTGAAAAAGGTTCTCTCGCTACATTGCCACTGACTACATTGCAATAAAGCCAATAATTAACTACGCAAATTCCCTTCTCAAGAAGTCAGGATCCAACAGCAAACACCGATATGGACATTTTGCGATGCAATCTAATGACTTAAAAGAAAGAAAAAGGACTAAGGAACTACAAGTTATGCTATAATGTCCACAAACACCACCAGCCACTAAACAATTAGCTCATGCGATAACGTTGTATGGCACGACACTGACGGACGATCCTGACATTCAACAACTAACTGGCTAACAGCTCTAGCACATCTTCGATGCGCACTCCAACTGCATTCCAAATTGGAAGGTTCTAACTTGTATTTCTTTGGTCCTTTTATTTCTTATAAATTCATCCTTGGCTCTCCATTCAAGTCCGGTCCAGTGATATTTACAGGTGTTGGCCATTGTTTTTTTATTTAATGTAGGCGGGGCTCTGCGTGGAGACGATGTCGACATGGGGTTGTTTGTTTTAGTTACCCTGCGTGCGCTTTATGAGCGCTCGCTTTGCATTCCGAATTTGAGTCGTGCTAGGTCTCGTTTCCATAGGTCATTTATGTTTTTAAATTCTGCAACAATTTCCACTACCCGGACATTTCGAGCGCCATTTTCGACAGTGCAAAATACGGCTTTCCTGGCTCTCCATAAATGTTCTACTTGTAATACTATGATAGGGACATATTTGATAGTCTTCACATGCCTGAGATACTGGATTGATATCCTAACCTTGTGCTCTTCTTCTTGCAGAGTGGCATTCATTGCTGAAAACTGTTCAGCTGAATTTTGCTGGATGATCCTGAAGTGTTGCTTGGTCTGGGAAATATTGGAAGTGCAACCAAAGCACAAACCAACGGGCTTTTATTCACCAGAGGGATGATGATATGTTAGCGTGTGGGATGTTATTGTTAAGGATATTGGTCCGGTCTTGCAGGGAGTTGCATTGTGTTGCATGTTTTTTAATCTTTTAATCCACTCTGTTCAGCCTCTTTTACGGGCGAATTCAACACGATAATAAAGAAACTAGGATATAGGGGGAAAATTTACTCCGATCCACTCTTTTTTCTATTTGTTCATATTCCAACAGAGTTTGATAATTATAATTATAATGGAAAAAGTACTACCTCCGACAAGCGAAACTTGGCGCGTTTTTTACTTCAAATTACTAGAAATAACTCTCGCTTTACAATCAAAACTAAAGATTGACTCACCAAAATTCAATTTTGTATTGCTCAACAAGGACATTAGAGACATCTGTTCGGCTGAATCACTCTCCTCTGATTCAGAGATCACAGTTTCGTCTGGAGAAGAATTGTTCCTGTTTTGAGACCAAAGTTCGACTAGAGCGGATTCTGTTGCAGCAAGTACCTCTATTGTAATCGCTCTGAAAATCTCGATGTCGCTCCTGTGTGCTGTGCTGGAGCCACGGTGTCGAGGGTAGTCATTTCCGCCGCCACTATCCAGGTTGACGTGCTAAGAACTGTGCAACACCTCCACAAGCGCCTGGACTCAAATTGTTTTGCCGGGTATTCTCGCCAACTGCCCAAAATTGCCTGCAGGAATTCCCGGCGATTTTCCTTAGCCACCAGAGACGCATCGCTCTGGTGGCTATTGAAAGACGCTAGGATTGTTTGGAATGGACGTATGGACTCTGTGCTGGCGGAATGACCAAGTCGAGAGAGAGAGAGAACTCCTTGGTTTCCATTACAACGCGAAAGCACGACGATTCTTCTTCGCAGAAGGGACGCGCGCACTGTTTTGCTGGTACACGAGAGACTGGCTTGCCTCTGAGCCATGTGCCACTCAACAGCTCGTCGCTTGGCTACCTGCAACCGGTTGCATGGAGCTACAAGTAGGTCGTAGATCTACGAGTTCCTCACAGCCTTGTGACGTTAGTTGTGGTACCAACACAAGAAAATCAACAAAAAAACGCGCCAAGTTTCGCTTGTCGGAGGTAGTACTACTTCATGTTTTTATGTTGACATGAATGCTTGGAGCGCATTTTGTTCGAATTCGAAAGCAGTTTTCCTTCATTTCCATTCCTGTGCTCTTAGGGCTGAATTCTTTGACATGAACTGTTCCTAAATTGAAATGTGTTTCATAGTATTCTGGAGTGGCGTCAGGCACACATCATCTTGAGACATAGTGTGAGATATAGCTTTATCCCATGGAAGGGTACGATTTGGGTGATTTCCACCAATCAGCGGCCATTCTGAGTTGGCTACCGCCAGCTGTACACCCGGCTCGGTTCGCGGTATACCCTACTCGGTTCACGTGGTCCACACACATGCGGCAAGCAGCGGCCAGAGCAATCGATTATGACCGATTGCTACTCTGCTCAATCAGATTATTCCCGTAGCTTTGTAAACGATTTCTGTCCCGGACAGTACTATAAAAGACCGCTGGTCACGTTATTCAAATAGGATTTCCAAATGCAAGACCATAACGTTAAGGAAATTGGAGGAATATGCATGTATGCGAAGTGGACCGGGCGAATGCATGTAGGGCGATTGCGCGGATTCGAACCCCATGTTGTCTCTCGAAAAATAGGAGAAATGAAATGTTTTAACATCGCTATGCTTTTTTTGGCTAGGTTGTCAGGGTGGTAGACGGTGCCGTATTATCGCATTAACCCTCGACTTTTTCTTGGTATGCCGCTAATGGGCTGGGAATGTCTCAGAGCAGAAAGGGTCGGCAAGAGTGCCTATACAGAGAGCAGAAGATGACGCCTCGAGAGTCACCATGCCTGCAAAAGTCTAAGCCGAAAACAAGAAACAACGGAGCAAGTATTTCGTAATTTGGAGACTCGCCGACTTCGTGAAAAGATGCGTGGACAGCAAGAGACCGCTGAACAGGCATCCAGTCGGCAGGAGAAAGACGTTATCATGCCCAAACGTGTTCGGCGTGTGGTGACTGTCGTCGGTAGGCATAGGGCAGTCGGAATATAGTTTGAATGTTTGTGGTTGTGCTGCTAATGTGTCGGAAATGTAAGGATCGGGTAGATAGCTGTGTTTTAATGGGCGCGGTTGTTGTATAAATGGAATGCTGAGATCATTAACAGAGGACTTTGAAGAAGTGCAAAATAAGTGCTAAGGCGACGGTGTTGACGGTCTGAGTAGACGGCATCGGCAGGAGTGTCTATTCAGAGAGTAAGCGATGGGAAAATAGAGGTCCCGCCTCCTCGAGAGTTGCCGTATTAAAACAGATCGGCTGCATTATTGTATTCCCAAAACGTTTTCATCAGTTCGAACAAAATCTAGGAAGAGCTAGGCAAATAGCATAGTGTGCGACCGTAAACTTTCAAGCCTTCTCCTTAATCTAGAAGTATAGCTAACCCAGCAGGCGCGTTATTCATAAATATGTTACCTCGATTTCCATTTGATCCATCTTCGTCTTCTGTTGGATAAAAATGGTTGTCAGTATCTTCACATCGGAGAGCAGCTGATTAATTTGAATGTCCCTAGCCTCCAGCTTCCCTTCCAGGTTTTTGTTGTAGGATTTCATATCCTCAATTTGGTAACAGAGTTGGCTGCTGGCAGATGATCCGCATATATCAACTGCAAAAACACACACAATTTAGGGTTCAAATTCTGCAAGCCTCTTAAAATCCTCGTAAAAAACATCATCTGTTTATGTGTTACTTGCCAAAATGATTCACAATTAACGGCAACAATAACTGATCATGCATTGGAAATTATCCATATTGATTTCAAGACAGACTGACCCCTTTTGAAACACCATGAACAAAATTCTACTCGAGGCTAATAGGAGTGCATGCATGTTGGTTTTGTAGAAATACCCTGCTTCATTCATTTTGTTGTGCAAGTATCTTGGCAAAACGGTTTTACTTTGCGACTTACACCCTGGTATATACTCTGACATGGGCAACTGGACCATGTAGCAAATCCTGATATGCCACTTAAGTCACGTTACTAGATAAAACATAAACCTAAAATGGCTGGAATCTCACTTGGTATAGTTGCTTATGGCAGAGGTTGAAGATGAAGGAAATTTAGAAAGTTCAGCACTTTCTTCAGACATTTCACACCTACCTTCGCAGTTAGTACCATCTCCCTTGTATCCAGATTGACAGTAACAAGAGTATGATCCAACAGTGTTATTACACATTGCATGTTCATTACACTCATGTTCACCAGCTGCACATTCATCTAGATCTGGACAGGCAGCGAAGTGGAATACATAGCAGATACAAACCCACAACACACCACTATGACATGTCCTGCACACTCGTTGTTGGATCTTTGTTTTGTTTTTGCTTTGTTTCCCCCTTTTCCGTAGTTAAGTGCGTTGCGATAAAGCAGCTTATCCAAACATATCTCAGTATAGTGCAACACATGCGTGCGCGGGGAATGCCAATACTAACCACGTGTACGTGTTATCAGGTTACGTATTAGGCGAGTTCTGCTATTATTGCATGGGTATTTCCTGCTGATGTTAGAATATGCTTGCCCAAGGATCGCAAGGCGTGGGACTCGAGTAGCAAGCAAAACCTAGTTGGGCCCAGTGTGTTATAGTGAGTCGAGCACTGTCTGGACAGAGGAAGAATTTTAGATTTCAGTGGACTTACCAGTACATACGCGTCCGTTGCCATCGTATCCAGTGTTGCACTCACACGCGAATGACCCGTAACTGTTGACGCATGATGCTACAGTTGGTTGATCACAATTGTTCAGGTCTGGCCTAGCACATTCATCAATGTCTATTCGGGATCAATTGAGAGAGAAATTAATGATTTAGTGAGATTGAATAAGCACAAGATCAGTATTGTCTTGTTCAAGACAAAATTCCTTGAAGTTGAGAAGCTTTTCAATTTAATATAATTATTTTGGTTGAGGGACAACTGGCAAAAGCCCTGACTATGGGTCAGGGAGTAATTATCGGTTCTTCACTATTTAACGCTTTACATAATGCCTTTTTAATGCCCTAAAATTAAACATATAATGCTCGCATAATGCTCAGGGATAGTTAGTAAGACACATCAAACATTGTTATGGAAGATGGCATTCAAAAGGTACGCAGAATCGTAATAATAAGTCTAAATCCCCAGGAGAAAGCTCGGCTTTTCACTATTTAATACTTTACATAATTTAAAATGAAACGACACTTCCAATGGATTTGTGTGAAATGCAGTGCTCTCTTGAGTGTAGGCAGGTTGCCTGCAAGCAAGTTCAAGTGTAATGAAGCTGCGTGAAGCATTCTTCAATTTTTTAAATTTTTAAATACTTTACATAATGCTTTGGTTATGCCATAAAAGAAGCATTGAATGCTCTATAACGCCTCGAAGTTTAAAATTTAATTCCAGCATCACCCGCTGACCCCTATCCCTGACGAAGATTGGTTTTACTAAGGAAATTGCATCTCACCTACATCACACCTCCTTCCAGTTAGCCCTGCCTCACAAACGCAAACAGCAGATTGCTGTGTAGTGTTGAACACACATTCTCCATCAACTGAGCAAGGTAGAAGCCTCGCTAAGTCTTGTGTGGGGCAAGATGATCTGCGACCTGGAAGTTGTTAGGATTGCAAAGAAGGAGATTAAAATGGTTTTTATTAGGATAGTATGGGAGAATACATGTGACCATAAAGTGTAATTGCGCCTTAGACGCAATGGAATATGAGGCGAATGTGTTGCGCTTATCCTGAGGTCTTTTGCTATCATTTGTATTGTCTTCGTCTGTTGATGAAGTCGAATCCGTTACACAGACTCAATCTGACTGGCGGATTGGAGCCGCAATAAAACCGACACACTTAATGTACACTTTACTTCTTGTCCATTACACTTCCGTTGTTTCTACTTGTATTATAAAAGCAAACATCATACCTTATCTCCAAAATATATTGTTTCTTTGCAGCAAATCTTATGATCTGAACCAATTTTGCTGCCACGAGCTGCCATCAGGATATTCTTTCCCTATCTTAAATAAGCTCCTTAAAACTGTTCAACCTCCGTAGAAAACGGTACAAACCGTGTCAAATACGTGATCAAGTGTGCACTAGGGACTCCGAATAGATATGTAAGCGGCGTTGGTCTAGCTCCTCCTAGAACGCTAGACCAACCTCACTTACATCTTTGTATCTAGTTATGCGTGTGCATATGATACCATCCATTGCTTTAGCATTCTCACATGGAATGTTCTTTGCGTTTTCGAGCCACTGACATGAGCTAGGAGCAACTGGTTGAACCAATTACAATTAAGACCAGTTAATAACAAATCAAGTGTATACCTTCTGAAAATAAGCTGGGTCAGAGTTGTCGAATTGCAAAGGAACACAGCGAGGACAGGTCAATTTGACATTACCCAGAAGGAGTGCTCAACAAGCCGATGCTATAGAGCGTTTCGCATAATCAGACTCTCTTCACAGGGAGAAAGGTACGAAGGTTGCTGTTTGTTTCTTTTACTTTGTTCGACGAGCCGTGCGATGCAGCAGAGCGGGCCAACGACAGCGGGCAGTGGCATATTCTATGTTGTGGTGGCGAGCAAGGGGAAGCTAGACGGAACAACAGTCTCGGGTTCTTCACTAACTATACACTCCCATATGCTCCCATATAGCAGAAATGAGAGAATTCTGAAAGGTTACGGTAGCAACAGTGAAGCCGAAAAGGCGGAGAGCTCTTCCGTACCAGGAGAAGCGAAGGAGACTGAAAGATGTCTTATGATACATTATCTTACTGGAGCGATCTTTATTTGTGGTCATTACTTTCATGAATTTAAAATTGTTCTTGTGCTATCTCAGTTAACGCACGTTTACAGTAGCGCTTCGAGCCGGTTTAAGGATGCTTTGTTGTTCAGTAGACTTCAATGCGATCAGTCTGGCCATTAACGTTGCCCACCTGACAAGAGCTGATAGGGTCCAAAAAGCATGCTGTCCGGTGATTGAATATTACGCTCCCTTGCCTTGGTTTGCTGAGCAATCGTTTCTGGACAGCGGTAAAGGTGTGTGCCCTGGCGCAAAGCTCGCCTTGTTTTTCGCAGTTAGAGCGCTCTGATATTAACGCATTTCAGAGGTTTACTGAGGGTATCTAGTAAGGCCGAAACAGCATGTTGTCAGGAGATTGAATAGAACAATATTTTATGAAAAGGCGGTGATGTGACAACAGTTAAAAAAAAAAAAAAAAGTAAATTATCGTGTCCGTCCCCGAAGGGAACTCACGACGGCCGCTAACACCCGGTAAATCCTAGCGGCAGATGCAGCGCCTAACGGTGGGGGTGAGTGGATAAGTCTCACAACCACTGGCACAAGTGCCAAGAACGGCCCCATTAGCTGCATCCATGTACCCCTTGTGTCTGGCCACAAGTTCCCAGTTGACTGTGGGTAGCAGCACGGCTGGAAAAAACGCTCCCAGGCAGGACTTGAACCAGGTACCTCTCGTATCTCAATCATGGTCTTTGACCAACAGTTTAAGGGTTGCAATAAACAAAACCAGCTGCAGCACAGACCATGATAAAGGATTCTTGTTATCTTTCACGCATATGATATCTTTCAGAAGTACCTAGTGATACATGATCGGTATTGTATAGGTGTTATTTATCGCTACTCATCCTTGATAATTGTCTGTTTTGCAATTTGTTAATCAATACAACGATGCTTCCTGATGAGCGGTGTGCGAAAGTTAGTTCGATACATTTATATTTTTCATCATTCCTATTATTGTTGAAAAAAGGAAAACGGTAGGGCACAAGTTATGCGCTTTCCTTGTTTCAATTTATTTATTTATTTTCGTTTAACATCTGTGTACCTATTACTTTTCTTCACATTACTTTTCCATCATACTTATTATAATTATATCTAATTTTCTCTGTGCATCACCACTTTCTCAAGAATTGTCTCGTCAAATTTCTGTAAAATCTATGTGAAATGACGTTTTTGCTGGTCCTGTTTATTGCAATCCTTGGACGGTATTTTATGGATTTAAATGCATGTAGATAACAAAAAAGTCACGAAAGAAACCCACTCACCGATACAGTGCTTAAGGTCTGTTGCAAGCTGCGGTGCATAACCCAATATGAGACTCAGTACGAAGTGCCGTTGCATTTTCACAACCTTCTCATCTAACATTGCTTGAATGGCAGCTGGTGTGTTGAGAATGGCGGCAGCTGTTGCACGGCTGGAGTTGGCAATCAGTAGCCATTCAGACATGCAGTTGATATCTTCGGTGACCATCGCAGGTGTTGTATCTATTGAACAATCGAACAAAAACTTCAAATGATCTGTCTGGGATTGTGAACTACCTGAAACAGGATACAAAGGCCCACCCCGCCAGTAGTCGAACCCGAAGCCTTGTCTGCGATGAGCAATGCTATAACCATTCCAGACTTGAGACAAAGACCACCCTAGAAGGCGGTTGCAAATTTTTCACACCAAATACAGCTCTCAATACGTGCCACATAATTATACTGATTGCACCTCGGTCTTTTTCCCTCCCCCAGGGGAACAACCACGGCCAGGTTCTGGAACGTAAGACTAGAGATGACAGACAGTGATCACTTTCCCGATTGATACTTGGAAATTATTTTGAAGTTCTCCCAAACCTACATGAAATTATTTTTTTCATCTCTGGTAACGCGTTCCACAAAATAAAACTTTTCTTGATCTTCTTGGGCGGGGGAAGGAAAAAGACGCAAGTGCCATCAGTATGTGTGGCACGTGTTGAAAGCTGTTGTTGACGTCAGCGCCTTCTGGGTTCGGCCTTGGCTCAGATGTTTAAAGCATAACTCATTACAGGCCAGATTCCGGGCTTCAGTCACGGTGGAGGTATGAACGGTCCGTGCTGGGGTGAAAGCTACACCGTAGCTCAGTGATCAGACCATCGCTGGCCTCAAGGGAAAATTCCTGGTTTAATTCATGGCGATGACAGTCAATTTTTTCACCAGGCAGCTCTATTTTCCATTG